GGCGAGTGACTGAAGTCTGCGACCGTTGATGGAGATGCAACTCAAGGCGACTTGTGTTAACACAGCGACTGCAAAGTGTCTTTAGTCGAACCTACAATCGCTTCTGGAGCAATGGGAGAAGCTGCCGGCCAGCAACACTCTTGAAGATCCTCTCAGTTTGATTGATGCTCCTTTTCTAGAGGAGGCATTGGTTCGATTGACAAGGCACAACAGAGGCGACCAAGCGGGCCCCACAACGTGAACCCCTCATTCTCACGAAGAGCAATATATCTCTGCTCCTTCCAGTGTTGAGAATTGCAATTTGGAATGTGAATGATTCCGGAATCATTCCATTTTCATGACCCTGGAATCAAATGGGGACATTGCTTGGAGGAATGGAATGGGAATGACATTATGCACATTTTGCCCAGAATGGAATGGGAATAAAATTACCTCTTTTTCGAAAAATAGAGCATGTTTTCATGTATGTGCTGTTTTTGAAACTTTGAAACTTGAAAAATTAATAAACCAGAGCCTTGAATTTAACATTGAATCAGCATTTTTAAAATGACTTGGTTAATTACAAGCACGGTATATCTGTAAGCAACGTGCCTACTACAACGCAGTCCTTGTATTTACTGTGTTCCTCCGAAGTTTGTTGCTATTATTTGTGCAACAGCATTATAGCGGAACTACGGTGACAGCATCCCCCCCTCCCTTTACATTTTGTGATTTTTTTCCCCCTCCGCAGCGCCCCAGCCACCTGCTGTCTCCCTACTCTTTACTCCTTAGCGTTATGTCCCCGTCGGCGACTCAGACACCTATTCAAAAATGCGTTTCTCAAAGTTGTGATGTGTATCAATGCTGGCACGCTGCTTTCATTCCACTGCGAGCTTTTGTATACCAGCTTGCGTGCCCTCTAACGTTATACTCCCCCAACCCCCCTTTGCAATACTGTCCCCTGATACTGACACATATGCGCCTTCGCTTGAAACTCTGTCGGATAATGTCTGTACGTCAGCGCAGCACACATTTGTACACGTTAAATTTTATGCGTTACCCTCCGTACAGACCCCTCCCCCTCCCCTCCAAGAGAGAGAATAAGATTTTTTCAAATCATTGGCTAAAAGAACCTCCCAATGCAGGAAAGCCCACGTAATCATAGCCACGGTGGCACGGCACCTCCCCGAGTCCCGAAGTGACAATTCACGCTGAAGAAAACCCATGTTTGCTCTTTTCTAGCGTGGAGGAAGGCCCTGATGACACCCGCCCCCACTGCGCCTTTTGGTGGCTAGAGAAGCACTACCATAATGCCTTACCACACAGGCTCCTGCGTCCAGTGGTTCACGCTCAAGCAGCTCATGTTCGTGAAGCACAACACATAGTTAAGCAGACGGCAAATGTTTAATCTCTTTCTTTTTTTTTTTTTCAAGAACGAATCGTCAAAACAGCCATCCATTCACCATTTTCGTTTTAAAAGCTAAACAGCAAAGCATCCATTTAGCTCACAAGATTTTGTGGCAAAATTCGATGAATAAACACAGAGTAAAGCTTTTTTTTTTTTGCACCTTGTACTGCTTTAGACCTTTATTGCAACTTTAAAAATCATAAGGACACTTAAGCAATTTTTATGATATAAGCCTTCGGGCCAAAGAACCAGTGACTGATTGCCGAACGTGTTTGGAAGACCAGGCGCTCGGGAGGTGAAGCCCAAGAGATCAGACGTTCCCGAATCTTGAGCTGCAAGCTGGTCATCCCGCACTCCCAGTGCTCTGGGGTGGGATCATTTCATTCTTGTCATTATTTTTTTCAACTTCGATTCTCTACAACTCGATATACATGCGTGTGCACATCGCCAAACAAAAAGGACTTTGGGAAAGAATGTATTTTGCTACACCCAGCTGCTACTGTAATATCATGCTCAAATTAGTCATGTAGGCCTGAGTACATGTTCTATCGAAGTCAAGGCCACAACGCATTCTCTAGGTCCACGTTTAGTTAGCCAAAGGTAAGGGTGGTGTGGTGTAAAAGTGGGAACAATCTGCCAACTTGTAAGAAAGAAACCAAGGCATAAGTTAATATACAAACAAATGTATTATCCGAACAGATACTGAAGGGAGAAACAAAATGATCTCTGCACGTTGGTTCCCATTGATACCCCCCACAAAAGAGGCGAATACCCTATGAAAAAACCTGGTCTTAGGAGCAGTTTGGTACATGTCACATAGGTGCTGTGTCGTGCTCCCTACGTGGTTTGCTTGCTTGCTTGATCCTTTCTTTTGTGGCTCTCTCCCAATAAGGGGGATTAGCCAAGAAGCCGGTGGTTAATGCAAGTCAATGCCTTTAGGTTATCTAGGCTAGGGAAATAGGATTACATGGTTTTGACTTGGTGGGATTAATTTGGCACAATGTGAAAAGAAAAGGGAAAGAACAGAAATAATAGAATTTGTTGAATATCTGAGGTATAATCGTTATATAAAATTCTTCTGAAGGTTAAATCATTATAGTGCAATAGCTAAATAATAAATGTTAGACTGGCTAGTAAAAATCAACAGCTGATCCATGGTTCAGCAAGGTAATCTTCTTGAGTTACATAGGAATTCGCAGAGAGCCCCGAAGATGTTCCTGTCGCTGTGTCCTAATGAAGCAGCCCCGAAAGAGAAAATATTAGGAGTAGTAAGTGATATTTTTATTTTTTAAAATAAAATTTCTAAACAATTTTTCTTTGATTTTTGAAATGGTGACGTGTGAGAAGAAAATGGTCGATATGTTCGGGTTCATTACAGCTTGAGCACAGAGGGGATGGCACCAGACCAGACCTGCTTAAGTAGAAATCAAGAGGTGGTACACGGCAACGTAATTTTGTTATAGAGACTTCCAATTTACGCGTGGGACACCATTTATTATTTCATGTGAAATGCAGGTGCAAGAAATCTGGATTTGGTATCGTAATTTTTTTATGAGTCTTCAAGAAGGGAAAGTTTTCTGAACCTCACTGCTGTTACATAAGCTGTAAGAGACATGATTGGCACAATCGGTAGATCAAGGGATGCTTACGCGAGTGAGTCAGCCATCTCATTTATAAGTATACTACAATGACCTGGCACCCATATCATTCGAACTAGACGAACGTTTGCTGGGATTGATAATTTAAAAGTTTCTGGCAATGCTGATGCCGATGACGATGATAAAAATGAACACACGGAATACGAGTCAATCACTATCACAGCTGTCGAATGAGTCGCAAGAAGTTTACGAAGAGCTAGTATAACAGCCGTTAATTCCGTTTCAAATATTGGTGTATAATCCGGAAGGCGTAATGAAAAGGACCAGAATAATGAGAGAGAAAAAATACCCACACCTGCCTTGTCGCCACTCATAGATGCATCTGTTGCAATTACTATATTAGTACCTAATTGAGACAGTTGTTCTTCTAATAAGCCAATCAAATATTTAGAGGGCAAGTGTTTAGCATTCATCGGGAAGATATCATCAAATACTTTTTTCACTTGGTTGATTGGTTTGTCAGATGGTATGATATCGAGTATATTAGCATTTAAAGCATCTAGAAGTGTTTGAACAAATATCACTTGGTTGCAGAAATCAGGCACCTTCTTTTTCTTCTAACCACTACCACCTCCACCTGACACACGTAACCTTCGCGACAAGGAAGACATTGCATAGCTGCACACAGGCGAATACAGAAAGTTCTCCACACCCAACCCAAGCCTGCGAGACGCGCTTAACAAGCGTGAGTGCTGACGAGCAGTGCGGCTGAGTGTCCTGTATTCGATGCAAAGGCACAAGGTGCCCGACCAGTGGTGCACTGTTCCTACTAATACCAGCAGATTTCGAAGGCTTCGTATTAACGAAATTTTAGTAAATATTAGTTTTCTTTATATTCACGACCACTTCATACGCGTGACGAAACAGCTTAGTCTTCTTGAACGCTACTTTTGTCAGCATAAGTATATGCTATGTCGTCATTGTAGCATTAACAAATTTAAGCTTAAATAATATTAAAACACCACAATCTTTCAAACATGCATGCTCACCATGCAAATACTATATGTAGTAAGAGAACTGCTCCTATGGGAATTAGTAGGGTGGTTTTATACTGCACGAGATATGTCGCCAACACATCCATCGGCCATGGTAACTTGTTTTGCCTACTTTTGCAGTTCTCAATGAATCTCGTGACACCAATTTTATGGGGTGTTCATTCTCAACTCAACAAAACTGTCAAGATGCATTTCCTACATTGAGGAATTACAGGAATGGAACAGCCCGGCCATTCCCGGAATGGGCTGTTTTTTTTTTTTCATTCCGAGGTATTTGAAAAAAAAAAAGAATTACAACAAGTCCAAATTCCCTGGTATGGAATTGGAATGGATGCGCTCGTTTCGCCACACCGCTCCAAGTAAAAAAAATCCTGAAAACGCCTCGTTTCGTGCATTTGACCTTCAAGCTCAGCCAAGATCACGCCCACCAGCGTATTTGAGGCGAGTCAATGCCAGAAAACATTGTTTACACATTTACCACGAGATGGCACGAAATGCTCGCCGCCGATAGAGTTACTGTATATGCTTAAAGGTAGCGTATACAGTAACTCTAGCCGCCGATAGACTTATGGACGTTTTTAGTAATGATGTTTTTAGTTCGCACCGACGTGTGCCGACGTCATACCGACGTGAATGTCCCGCGTGCTTCGTTTCACGTGCACCGCGTGTCGTCGCAACGCCAGCCGAAAATCTAGAATAGAACGACAGTCGCGCCGAAAAAAAAAGCGCGCTCGAATGCGTGTCCGCAAGCAGTAGCAACGTGTCGTTGCGTAAGAGTTATGCTAGCCCAATTAACGTCGCACCTTGTCGACAGGATTCCGCAGAGCGGGAGCACAAAATATCATATTTGCCAAAGCCAAGGCATGGAATGCATGCGGTGTTATTTTAAAAAAGTCGCCGGCTAGAGCGCACTGCATCGAAGCAGTTCGCTCTTCCGGCAAAGGAAGTGGATGTATTTACCTTATAATGATTCGGCGAGAAGTTTGGAGCATACACAAACAATTATGTAGCTCACAAGCTCTGACTCTCTACACTCCACCGCCAGAGCATGGCCACTGCGTTATCGGATGCCATTCGTGGTCAGCTGATGGTCAAAGGGGCAATGACGATACGTTGATGGCGGTGTTCCATACATGGCCTCCGAAATTGCAAGCGCACAGCGTCTGCCACAAGCTAACTGTCTCGGACGCCATGTTCTATAGCCTTTAGTTTTTATCAAACTTGTTTAGAGGCCGCTACCGGTCAGTCAAAGTGCGCGGCATAATGGCGCCATATTTGAACTATAATGTTTTCGGTCACAACAGGTGCGGGTTCCTCTTGTCGGAATTCTAGATCTTTCATTACTACTCACAGCTATTACTACAAGCATTGTCACTAAACATCCAAGAGCGAGTCTTCTCGGAGGGTGTGATACAAGGTATTCATCGTATCAAGTCACCCCACGCTGCCTGTCAGTCGTGGAGTACTTGCTGTGCAAGAATTACTCTTACGGTTGCACAACATTCATAGATTATAAGCCAGAAAAGACGATTCGGGGTGTCTCGCTGCCACACATCTCACGTAACACTCACACTTCCTGGTCACGTAAAGGCGTGTGGCTGTCAGCATTGCATAGCACTCTTCACAGCTGAAAGTGCAGAGCGCAGTATACTAAAACAAATGGCGGGGTTTACGCGCCAAAGCCAGGGTATGATTATGAAGCACGTCGTAGTGGGAGACTGCGACTCATTCTTTTCTTATAGTTGCTGTCTCTACAGATATGGCTTGGCCACGTTGCGAAAAGATTGTATACATAACTTGCTCGTGACGTCATAGACAGATTTTCTGTGCTGGGTACCTGAAGATGGCGGCCATTATGACTTTTTAACGCATTTGAGAGTACCAGTGCAAGGGAGGACAGAGACTCTCACCCCTCGCATTCTTTTGTGCTATTCGCGCTTCCTTCTATTCGCCATCCCAGCCGTGTCAAAGGGGAACACAAAGAATTGGAAGGGGCACCGGTTTTAATCAGATTTCACCATTTCTTGTTCCGCGTGGTCGAGCAAGAAATCGCTTAGCATCTTGACTAGCTGGTACCTGAAGATGGCGACAACAATGACGTCAATGCAAGTTATGTTTCTCTTCTTAGAGCCCAGCCCCCCTCCCCCCCTCGAACAAATCAGCAATCGCGTCGGCAGCTGTCTTCAACTTATCTGTCTACATACCTCTTATAAGCGAATAACTGAGCTCACTTATATCCAGAATTGCGAATCACTTTGGTTAGAATTTCATGCAAACTAAATTACTCAATGGAAGACGAATATCTTCGTTTGCTTTTGCAGTTAACCTTGTCCCTCAGTTACAGATTTTTGTTCGGCTGCTGACACGCAGGTCGCGGGTTCATATCCCGGCTGCGGCGGCTGCATTTCTGATGGAGACGGAAATGTTGTAGGCCCGTGTGCTCAGATTCGGGTGCACGTTAAAGAACCCCAGGTGGTCGAAATTTCCGGAGCCCTCCACTACGGCGTCTCTCATACTCATATGGTGGTTTTGGGACGTTAAACCCCACAAATCAATCAAAAATAGAATAATCATAATTCGCACCATAGATAACGCGATGTGCACATTGTATCAAGGCAGTTACGGATATATCTTGTCCTCTTTCACAGTACTGTCTTATCAGTACGCGGAGCCGTGTCTGGCAAGCGGAGGCTAAACAGATGATTGAGTGGTTGAGATATGCTCCGACAGGTGCCGAAACACTACCAGCCATTTTGTCACTCTATTCTACTGTGCAGCCTGAGATACACTAGTGGAGCAGGTGAGTACACATAGCCCATCTCACATTACGCGCTGACAATCTGCAAACGGCAAGGTGCACCTACGCGGACGAACAATAAAACGTTTGAGAAAGACTATCAGACCAATTAACGTGGTTGTGCGTTCAGGGGTGCATCAAGTTACAAGCGCAGGCGCGTCGATCCTGACGTTGACGAGAGCCCGACCCTCACTGCACTGAGCGGAAGCGTAGTAGAGAGGGGGTTGCTGCGACCAACGTTCGCCTCCATGAAGAAGAACGCGCCTACGCGTGCCTATGGTCATGGTGTCATTTAACACTGCTAGGTATAGAATGGAAGCGGGACGCTCAAAACTCGTTCGGCTGCGCCACTGAGATCTGTAGCGATTCGCATGTCTGCAGCCTGCAAATGATTTGCACTCTGCAACTGATCCTTCGGAGTAGCTTTATGGTCTAATACGTTGTACTAAACCGTCTAAACCATTTCAGGAAAATTCCACTTAGCCCCACACTCGGGTGGCCAGGTGTAGTTGAAAACTGATATATAATTATTAGTCATGTCCCCGCTTCCCTGCCCATGACCACGTCTGGCTGTTCGGCTCCCAGATGCCAATCTGGGAATTGGATTAAAAAGATCTTTCTTGGAAATTGTATTTAAGACCGGATAGTTCTCCATTCTTGTCACCAACTATCCACAACTAGCCTTCTCACAGCTTTTAACAAAGCTGTTGTCGTACAATCATACCTTTTTTCAGACACTCAAATGCAAAAAGAAAGTAGGATTGTCTAAAAAGTAATAAATTGTGGGGAGACTGTATACACTAGAAGCCGCATGAAAACAAACACCTTTACAAAAAAAGAGCATCATATTTCAGTGCACGTGTAAAACCTTTGCAAGTCGCTTGCTGTTGTGCATAAGAAATGCTAGATGAAAATGTTATGAAGAAAGAAATAACTGAGCTTGTTTTTGACGCAAAGAAAAAAAAGCGCCAAGAAGTCAGTTCTTTTTAATAGAAGATAGAATAACGTTGATTACACATACAAAATTACCCACATTGATAAATCTTATTTGAAGCCACTTGTGGATGCTTACGCATCCATCAAATCACTCATTCCCGAATCATTGCATCTCTTCAGAAACTACCGATGAGCTTGTGTCAGTTTTAACGAATTCAAGATAGTAACGAGTACTAACTGAGCCTTTATTTCTGATAATGTTATATAAACCCGTATTGTTTGTCTGAAGTTTTTTTTTTTTCGCAACAACGCATTTAAACAGGAGGCATTTTTTTCACTCGCAGAGACCTTGCAACACTTTTCGAGCAATCATCGAATGTATTCACTCCAAGAGCTTTTTGCCTCATGAATGAACTGCCGTTAAAAAATAAGAGTGGAGTTACGCGAACTTATCTCACGCGTCAAGTGCTTTCTCATTTCTTTCGTGCCCCACCGTGGGGGTCTACTGGCTAAGGTACTCGGCTGCTGACCCGCAGGTCGCGGGATCGGATCCCGGATGCCGCGGTTGCATTACCCATGGAGGCGCAAAAGCTGTGTGCCCCAGTGCTCAGATTTTGGTGCACGTTAAAGAACCCCAGATGGTCGAAATTCCTGGAATCTTCCACTACGGCGTCTCTCATAATCATATGGTGGTTTTGGGACGTTAGACCTCACGTATCAATCAACATATTAATCTCTTCTTTCGTGCCAGCGAGAGCGCTGAAAGATACGCGGGGAAGGGGGTGACTAGAGGGCAAGAAAATGCGTCATGACCCTGAGCACTTTCTTTTTGAACGCGAGGCTTACCTTCAATGTGATCGCAATCGCACTATGCAGCTAATTAAGGTTAAAACTAGTCAATAGCAATGGACTTCGGCTAATTCGAACTTTATAAAGCCACCATTTGTCAAGAGAAGAGGGAACGATTGTTAGCTATGTCAACATGAATATGTCAACACAAATATGTTATATGAATGATTGTTAGAGATGTCAACGTAAATATGTTATCAGCAATTACGTACAAATTCCAAATCCCGACAGAGGCGTTCCGTCGGTGACGTCAAAAAGCGGGCGGTCCGCAGCGGACGCGAGGACGAGGGAAAGCGAACAGCCAATGAGGAAAATGGAGGCCTGCGTCATCATTTTGACGTCGGCTTGGGGACCGTATAGCAAAATGAAAAGTGTTTTTAACTTGTTGAGAAATGTTTAGCTATTATTACTCGTTATTAAAATGTGTTTGCACTAGTTTTCAAAAGTTGAATAAGAAATACGGCACAATTCAAACGTATTTTTTGTCAGTGTTTTAAAATGACGCTAAATTTAGCCGGACGTTTAGTAGTAGCGCTAGGTACAACTTTGTTTCAAGCAGTTTCTCTTCTCATGTCTCCACCCCTATTCAATTTGAAACGGCGCAAACTAGTAGGCGTTCTGACAGCTAAACTTAAGAAGCCGTTGGCTCAGTCGAGCGTGGTAGTGACCGTAGGGTACAGGTGTTCTGCGGTGGCTAGAAGGAGAGGTGTCAGCATCGGCATGCCGGAGAGCGAGCGAGAATTCATCCGGATGCGGCGGCGCTGCGGTCGCTTTCGAGATGCCCCTCCCCACGCCTGCGCGTGCGTATCAGTCGTATTTTGTTGCAACTATTTTACGTTATTCAGCAGATTATAACCAAGTCAACCTGTCACAATTCTGACGGGGTCCTGAAAGCGTGTATGGGCACTGAAAACTAGTGTTTTCAATTCACTTCGTAGTATATGAGCTCTAGCCCGTCAATCACCAACGGCAAGTCTGAAGTTATCTTCTCATTACGGCACTTCTTTACCGGGAGACAGTCATCGTCGTCGTTACGCTGGTGTCGCAGTGGAGGATCTTCATATTTTGAATCTCCAGTGGCCTCGCCTCCACAGGCCGCCCACTTCAGTTTCCCGGGTTTGGACTAGGCGAACGATGCCTAGGTGCGTTTGTGAAGGAACGTGTGCTTGGCGAGCGCCAAGGTAGAGGGGATAGTGATCGCGGTTGATGACGATGATGCAGGTCGAAGCTCTGACGTTAGCACAGGGATTCCTCGATATCGGACGGTCTTTCGCCATTTCGCGGACACGGTGCGTTGATGGCAAATCCTCGAAGCTTGACGGTATCGGCAAAGCCGGTACAGATGGCCAGCCTCTCCGCAGTGGAAGCACAGCTAGGGGCCTACGTTCCGCATCTCGCCATACATCACTTTTCCGAGTTCTTGTCTCTGTCTCAAAATGTGCACTGCGAGTTGCCTCTACGTTATTGCGCGGGTTACGTGTTGTTGGTGGGTAAGTACTTGGCGTCTCGATAGGCGCACAATGGACAGCAGGCCGCCTGAGCACCTCAGAATACGCTACCGCGCGCCGTGTCGGTGGTGCATCACTCTGCGGCTCCCGTATGTCCTGC